ACCTCCTCGGGCCAGCAAGGACACGTCCGCGGCCCTGGCCACTAGAATGCCCCATCTCAAGCCAGCACCCTCAGTCATGAGGCCTGGGTTCAGGTCCCAGCTCTGCCACAGACACACTGTGTGACCACGGATCGGTCACTGTTCTTCTGCACCTGTTTCCCCATCTACAGAGAGTAGGTCCTTCAGCTCTATCAGGGAATGCTCTCGATGGAAGGACATCCCCTCTCAAACGATGGACCCGCCTCGCTGAGGCAGGTGGCAGGACCTGGGAACCTGGGTGTAAGTGCCCTTCCAGTCTACACCCACCAAGGACATGGCCAGCCACATGCACCAAGGGGCGCTAACGTGGGCCGACGAGAGGGCCGTTACCTGTGCTCCCCACTTCCAGCCCAGCTGTGGCGAGGAGCTGCCCCCACCCTATGAAAGTCAAAGGGGGCACAGAGCAGACGGGGCTACTATCCTGGTGACAGAAGGCAGGTGCTCGGTCCGAGGGGAGCCTCTTCCTCCAGAGTCCACATCCCCAACTCCCAGACCCATGATGATCACTGATCTTGGGGACCACAGTGTGTGAGGCCGTTCAGCCAAACCTCCCTCCTCGCCCCGAGTCCTGCCAATCCTGTCCCTCTGGAAGCAGGACGAGACCGGAAAACCTAGCCTCGCCTGGCAAGGAAAATGGAGGAAGCCCGGGCTTTGCAGCCAGAGGCTGCTGGGTTCCAATCCCAGCTTGGCTGCCTCCGGGCGGTCATGTCCCTACTCTGAGCCTCAGTTTCCCCCATCTCGGATGATGACAGCAGTCCCCGCTCACTGGAAGCCCACGCCACGCACCAGGCTCCAGGCTCTGTGTAACGTGCATTGCTGCCCGGCATTTCCACATTGCTGGCAAGGAACCTGGGGCCCAGAGAGGGGATGTGGCCCGCCCAAGTCCCGCAGCTACAGGTGATTGGCCACAGGACAAGGCCAGACCTGCCTGACCCCATAGCCACAAAATAGTGATCACTGGCAAGCGGAAACTAGGGCATGAGGACAGAGATCCTGGCACAGGAGGGCACTATTATTTCTATGGATGGGATAACCAAGGCCCAGAGAGGGTAAGATACCTGCCTGAGTTCCCACAGCAAACCGCCTTTTGGTTTTCTCCTCATAGCCGGGGCGTCAGAGGAAGAGGGCTGTATTTGGAATCCAGAGACCCATCAGGGCATAGCTTCTGCCCTTGCTGACTTCATGGCTTGGAGCAGGAAGCCCCCCCCAACCGCCCCCAATCCCAGTCCCAGTTTTCTGTAAAACGGGGCTCCCCACACTTTCCTCACAGGCTTGCTGTGGGCACAGGTGGAGGGCATGGGTGTGAAGGCACCCAGAGCCACAGGCCGGGGTGCCTAGCGGTCACCGAGGCAGCCCTACCTGCCACCTGGCTTCCCCAGAGCTCCGCCCAGTTCCTGGCAGGCAGTAGGTGCACATTTAGTATCTGCTGAATGAGAACATCCGGGAGCTCAGGGCCAGGAGCCGTGGGGGAGGAGGGCAGCCCCTGGTCCCCAGGCAGGGAGGAGGCCCAGGGGGCCCCTGAGAGGCCAGGTTCAGCCCAGGTGCCCCCATCAGCATTCAGGTGGTACCCCGGCCTCTGCCAGTACATTATGCAAATGCCTCGAAATGGATGTTTTCATTATCAGATTTAAAACATTGTATGAGAACAGACTCAGTTAATCTCCTGAGCCGGGGAGGGGTTTGGCAGAGCAGCCTGTAAAAAAAATGTCCAATTCTCGTCTCTCCCCTTGTCTGGGTAGTTAGGCTGCTCCCCACTCTGCTTGCCCATGAGGGTGGTGATAATGGGAGCATTCGGGCCTCCCCCCTTCTCCCCACTGCTGAGAGGGGGTTGGGGGTGGCCCAGGACGACAGGAAGTGTCTCTCTCTCTCCCTCGGACTGTGACTCCCCAATTCCTGCCCCCTCCCTCCTCGGTTTACAGGAAGAAGCAGACAGCATTGGCAGGACCATGGGGGTCTAAGGTGTGGGCAGCAAGGATGGCCAAGGGGGCAGAAGGGGTGAGATGAGCTGGCACCTCTAGGGCGGAGACGGCATCTCAGCTATGACGATTAGGCAGGGATTGGAGAGGGGGCTTTGGGAGGTCCCTGGTCATCTCCTGGAGAGCAGCACAGAAGAGACGCTAAGAACAAGGCTTTACAGTCACGAACACCTGGGTTCAAATCCCACTGTCGCTTGCTTGCCTTGTGACCCAGGGCAAGTTACTTCCCTTCTCTGGGCCTCAGTTTGCTCATCAACAGAATGGGGAGAACGATACCTATCTCACTGAACTGAGCAGGCTCACAGGGGTAAGGCCTACAAAGCACTAGGCACCACGCTGGGCATGGAGCAGGTGCTCCGGGAGGTCGGCTGTTAGTGATTCAGGAGCTGACAAAGCCACCAGGAGGGGATTGACTGAACAATGAACACAGTTCATGGGACATATCTGCAGGATAACCGGTAGGGTCTCTTGAGCAAGCTGTGTAATGGAGGAAAAACGGGTGTGTGTGTGCGCATGCACGCACGCCTGGGTGGCTCAGTCGGCTAAGCGTCTGCCTTCGGCTCAGGTCATGATCCCAGGGTCCTGGGATCGAGTCCCGCATCGGGCTCTCTGCTCCTTGGGAGCCTGCTTCTCCCTCTGCCTCTCTCTCTGACAAGTAAATACAATCTTTAAAAAAGAGAGAGAGAACTTAGGGCTGTTAAGAGCCACATGTATGGTCCTAAACAGGATTCTGGGCGTTTGGGTGACAATTAGGGGGAAGTGTAACTATGGCCTGGGAATTAGGGTGCAAACATATTGGAGGCATGTTGCTTAAGCCCTGGGCAAAGGGACTGGCCCAAGCACACTGGGATGGCAGGGCGGGGCCCGACCGTGCGCGCACCTGCAGCCAGCTCCCTACCTCAACAGGCTGCCAGCCGTCCGTCCGGCCACTGGGAGCAAATCCTCCCTGAGAGAGAGAGCACGGGTGCGAACCGCAGCAGCTACTCTGTCTGCCGAGAGTCGCAATATCTGCCGCCTGTCTCGCCACGTGAGACCTCTGCCAGCCCGGAGAAATTGCCAACTTGAGGCTGTGACGGTGGGTGTTGAATCCACAAGATGCTGCAGAGGCTGGGAGCGGTCCAAATGCTGACTTGGGGAATTGCTCGCCTCCGGCTGGCAAAGCAGACACAGGTGCTTGGGTGACCCGTTCGTCGGGGGAGCTGGAGCGGCGGTGACCCCCCGGCGTCGCAATCTAGGCGGTTTGGACAAACTGGGCTGGCGGCTTCTCACCGGCTCTGTGCACCGCCCCGAAATTTCGGAGCTCTGAGAGGCGCTCTAGCTTCTGGCACGGGACAGGGAGCACGCTGAGCGTTCATGAGCACCTACTGTGTGCCGGGCACTGGGCCACGGGCTCTACGTGCTTTCTCACGCCCTCATCTCGAAACCTCTCTCAGGTGGGTGTTGCTAGTTCTTCCACCTTCCAGATGAGGAGGAGGTGGGCCTGGCTCGCCTGAGGTCACGTGGCCAGTGGGTTGGGCAGAGGGGAAGGGAAGCCGGGGCGGAGCTTAATTGACCTTTGGGGTCATCTCATTCAGTGTCCTCAGCCTTGGCCCCGCATTACAGGAATCACCTGGGAGCTCTTGAACACCACCCAGGACTGCGTCCTGCTGAGATTCGTTCAATCAGAATATTGGGGGGTGAGGCAGGCATTCCGGGGTGGTTTTGATGTGCAGCTGGGAGAACCCCAGGCAAGGGGAAGGGGGGAATGCTCCCTGCAAATGCAAACTGTCTACAAACACAATGGAAGAGATCGGTGAGAGATCGGTGGCAGGAGTGGGCGCCTCGAGGCCCCTGTGGTGGCTGGGGTGAGGCTGTATTGGCCAAGGCATGAGCAGTGGGTTGGCCTCTGCTCTGGGAGACACACACAGCCCCCAGGGAGTGAGAAAGAGGGTCTCAAGGAGCAGCTAGGTTCTGGGGGGGCCTCAGCCTCTGGACACCTGCCATGGGCATCTCTGGGCGCCCCAGGGAGCTCCCAGGCTGGCCTCCTACAGCGTGGAAACGCTGTCAAGCAGCATCCTCGAGAAAGCATCTTTCGGTCCCGGCTGCTTGTTCAAATGGTGTGGGCAACTTTTGAAAATACCCAGGCCCCGGCCCCACTCTGACCGAGTACATCCAAATCCAGAGGAAATAATGAGCCCAAGCGTGGAAAGCAGCGAGAATCGCCCCGACCTGTGTCCAGGCAGAAGCACGCAGGGGCTGAGGGCAGGTGCTGTAGTCACATCATTGGACTGGGAATCCTGCCTCCCATGTGGATTAGCTGTGTGGCCTTGGCTGACTTACTCAACCTCTCTGAGCTTCAGTTTCCCGATCTATACAGTGGGGCTGAGACGAGCAATTGTTCTCCAAGCCCGGGGCAGATGAAAAAAGATGATGGATCTACAGCGCTTAGAACAGTGCCCAGCACATGGTAAGAGCTCAGTATTCACGTTATTTGTTTTATGCGTTATTTGTGTTTTGAGGAGAAGCAGGCAACCGCCATCAGTGATGCTAGGGCAGGCATCCTCCGTATTGCCCTCATGTCTCTGGCAGTGAGCCCAGGCACAGCCCGGGAGGCCTGGCATGACGGGTGGGGGTGGGGGGTGCGGAGCTCAGATGCTGCTCTTCAGGCCAGCTCCCACTCACCCTCCCTCTGAAGACCCTGGGAAAGGCACCCGCTGCCCCCTAGTGGCCAAGGGCAGAAGCGCAGGGCCATTTTAACCGCATCCTGAATTCCCTGCCCAGCCCCCACCTTCCTGTGTGCCCCCTGCAGGTCCCGGGCTGTGGTAGCTCCCCGCCGCCATGCGCTAGCTACGGGGGCTTTTTGATGGATTCTGCCGTTTCAGATGGAGCTTTGACTGGTAATATAAAGTTCAAGCAGGGCCAGGTAGGTGCCAGGCACTGGGCTACAAGCACTTGAATCTTTTTTTCCCACCCAGCGAATTGCAGGAAAAAAAAGGAAGATTCCAGAACCTACAGGTTTTTGTTTCTAAGGCTCACAAAAGTCTGTGAATTCATGAGTGCTCACGACTCCGGGGGCCAGGAAGCTTAAAACTCCCCTTTCTGGAAAAGCAGGTAGGAATTGTGCTGGAGGACTGAGGGCCATCTGGGAAAACCCTACCAGTAGTGTCCCTGAGACACAAAACTGAGTGGCCCAAAGCCCTTCTTTCCTTCAACTCCTTAAGAGCTCCACGGGGGAAAGTGGCTGGAGAAGGTACAGAGGAGGCAGGCACGGGCGGGCTGGAGACTGTACCAGACTGTCATCCTTCTTTCTGGACTCCAAGGGAAGCCCTGGTTTACTCAAGAGCTTCTTATTTCCCCTCTGCCATCTTTTCTGCAAATCCTGTGGGTACAGACTGGAAGAAACTGGGTACATCGACCATGCCTTCGGCCAACCCTGGGACGGGAGGGCAGAAGGCAAAGACCACTGCCCATACAACCGCTGGGGGGCCCGCAGTCTAGCTGGAGAGAAGAGCAGAGCACGCAGTGCTGAACGGTTCAAACAGACGGGGCGTGCAGGGAGGGAGGTGGCACCAGGGTCACCCTGCCAGGGGTCGGGGAAAGCTTCCTGGAGGAGGTGGGAGGGGCCGGGCCCTGAGAGACAGGTGGCAGAGGGAGGGAGAAGGCACACTGCATCTGAGCGTCCAGCCAAGTGGGCAGAGGGTTTGAGAAGGCGGCAGTGGCCCAAAGATGCCCTAGCATCTCAGAGGACCCCACACGACCCCACTGCCCAGGCAGCTCAAGAGAAGGCAGGACACAGACCGGGTCTTCCAGGATCCCCAGCCCACTGCAGGTTCCAGATCACACCGCTGGGACTGGAGGGGTACGGCTGCTGGGAAGACCAGCGCACAGAGGCTGGGGCCCACTGGCCAGCCCCGAAGCCAACTCCGGCACCCAGAATACCCCAGGAAGGCGCTTCTTGGTGGGGCTGCAGTGGCGCGGGCTCATCTCAGAGACCAACCAGGGCTTGGCGCACAGGGACATCCAGGGAGGCAGCCGAGTGGATGGAGATGCCGGGGGCCCCGATGCTGGTTTCCCAGCAGTCAAACCCGCAGTCAGTCAGAGCCTGCTTCGTGGCCTCTACCTCTGGCTGCTCCAGATCTGGGGGGAGGGAAAGCAGCAGGTCACCCAACAATCTCTGCTCCCTTAGAGACTGTCCATCCAGGAAAAGGCCCGGGGCCAACCAGGTCTTCCTGTTGGAATGTCAAGCCTTGCACCCTCGGGAGGGGGTGTGGGGGGTGGTTACGGAGCAACAGTTAAACTCATGGGCCTGGCCTTGTCACAGATCAGCCGGGGGGCCTCAGACAAGTGACTTCCCTTCTCTGAGCCTCAGTCTCCTCATCTGGGAATGGGGCTAGTAATACCTACCCCTCGAGGGTCACTGTGAGGCTTACATGGGAGAATGCAGGTAAGGTGCCTGGCACAGCAGACATTCCCCAGAAGCCTTCTCTCATCATCGTCACTGACCCTGAACTAGAAGCCAACAGTCAAAGTCGGCTGTCGGCCAAGCTGACTTCCTGACGCCTGGGAGCGCACTGAGCATGAGGGGAGTGGCTGGGGCCACTGTGGGCTGACTGCAAAGCAACAGAGAAAGGTGGGACAAAAAGAGGAAGGAAGAGAAGGTAAAGAAGGGAAGAGAAAGACCAGAAGGAGGAGGCAAAGGGAAAGCAACGGAGGCGAGAGCTCTGAGGGCCTGGTCCTGAGGGCAGGTGTGTTGACTGAGCACCACCAGGAGCCCCTTGCTGGCCCCGGGCACGTTACCCAGCCTTGCTCTTTCCCCAAACACTACGGGGAGAGAAAGCCCTTTGTTCTGTAGCGAGGTCAGTCCCCATCTTGGCCACATCAAGAGGTGACAGCGGGGGAGGGGTGAGGCTGACATGGGTGATGACAATGTCCTGGTTATTTCTCGAGCTCGTGGGAGACCTGGCAGGTAAGGAGGTGGTAGGGACAGCCGCCCGCGGTATGAGCCCCTACCACAGCCCAGCCCTGTGCCAGGCATTCTAAATGCACTTTTCTCCTTGAACCTACACAACGATCTTATAAAATAGACGTGAGCATCCTTTACTTTACCGATGCAGCAACAAAGACCCAGAGAGGTTAATTAACTCGACCAAAGCCACACAGCAGAGGAGAGGCTGTTCTCCGGCGTCTTCCTCCTCCCGAGGGAATTGCCCAGGTAGAACGTTTGCATGAGCCCTGGCCGACAACCCTGCCCACCCCCCAGGTACCTGGCCTGAGGAGCGTGATGCCACAGCCACCGCCGCCCGCGCCAGTGAGCTTGCTGTGCAGTCCATGGGCCATGGTCACCTGGCAGAGCTGGTCCAGCGAGGCATGGCCCACGCCAAGGGCATTCAGATGGTGCTGGTTCATGTCGATGAGCTCCTGGAGGAGAAGGTTCCATCTGTTCCCACTTGGTGTGCCTGAAGCCAAGGTCCTGTGCTCACCCCATCCACGTGACGGCCACCGGTTTGGGACGGCAAATGGCTTAGACAACCCAGCACCGTGTCCCTCTCCACTGGTCAAAGGACCTCTCCTTCCCGCAGGACTTCCCATGGGGCTGGGATGGAGCTGGTGGCGAACACATGTCCCATGCCTGGCCAGAGAAGCCTGTGGCCATGGTGAGTGGTCAGGAATGGGCCTGTGACCCCAACTGGGCCAACCACAGCCCTCCCAGGGTTTTCTCTGCCTCTGCCCTGGAGCTGCTAAAACTGGTTGACTTCAGAGAGAAGCCACCAAAGTTATCTGCCCTGCCCATGGTCAGAGATTATATGGAAGATGGAGAGAGATTTCAGACTTGGTTTGGCCCCTGGATCCAGCTATGCCTGATGCTGTTCTTGCTGGTCTTCTCAGTTATGAGCCGATAAATTCCCTTTCTGTTAAAGCCTGCTTGAGATGGGTTTCTATCATCTGCAGGAGAAGTCTGAAGTACTATGCCATCCTACAGCTGCCTCAGGTGCCCATATTTTCAGAATAAGAACCGGTTTATTGTCCCAACAAGGTCACAAGTGGGGGGAAAGAGCTAAATGTGTTCCAGGTTTCTTTGATCCTGCATAAAATTCCTGCTCTTCTGAGGCTCAAACAGCACGTAGGTTGATGAAATAACAAAACTGACAGCTAGCACAGCCCAGGTGCCCCCTACAACATTTCATTTACTCCACCTGTGTTTGCCAAACACCTTCACCATGCCGGGCACTGTGCTAGGCACTGGGGCTCTAGGAATGAGCACCCAGCTACGGTCCCTGCCGCGGGCAAGCTAAGAATGTGGGATCTGGAGTCAGGGGGGGCCTGGGTTTAAGTCCCAGCTCTGTGACCTCTTGGTCCGTGAGGGCGTTCACCCTGTGCCTCAGTTTCCCCACTTGTAAAACTGGCATCGTAAGAGGTTCTGCCTCGTTGCCGTGGGGATGGGACAAAGTGAGTTTTTTGCATGATGCCTGGCCTGAGACGAGGGCTTTGGGAAAGTCAGCTGCTATTAATACTTTTATGGTCACATCACCACCATCTTCATTTCAGGGGACGCTAAGGCTCAGGGAGGAAAGTGACTTGCCTAAGGTCGCTGAGCTGGCAAGGTACTGAGCCAGCCCTGGAAGCCGGGTCTGCCCGGTGCAAAGCTCGCGTCTACCCTGTCTCCAAGAGCGCCCTTGGCATTCCGGCGGCCACCTACTTCTTGTGGCGTGTGGCTTGGCAGCGCGCGGCTCTGCTCCAGGGAACGGGGAGCGCCTGCGCGCCGGGAGGGCTGCCAATCACCGAGCTGTCTGCTGAGGCCCACCTGGTTCTCCTGCCCTGGGCTGTCGGGCGGGCTCGGGTCAGCCCTCCCCTGCAGCCTGCCTCACACCCGCCAGCCCTTCTGACAAACGAGCAGACAGGCGTGATGGGCCGGTGGCAGCCCCGGGTGCCTTTCCCCAGCCCCAGGGGCTGGATGTGAGGGAAAACTTCTGGGGGCTGCTCTCTGCGCCTGAGCGCGAGGTGTCACGTTGCCAAGGCAGGTTTCAGACACCTGTCACATTCTGATCCAAAATCTGTCAAGGATCAGATGACAGGTTGTGACACAGGAGAACAGCTCGCTGGTTTGAGCACAAAGCTGTCCAGGAGCCGAGCTGCACATTTCAGCGGCTGCCACAGCCAAAAATATACACAATGTATAATCAACGTGCTGTTCTGTGGCATTCTCCAGGGGCTCAACGGGGTGTATTTTAGGCAGTACTCTATCATTATTAATTTCGTACTCAGGAGGACTGTGTTCCCTCCTTTCTACGTGAAAGGAATTGAAGCCAGCAAGGCAAACGCTGGGGGACTGGAGGCAGACAGCTACGGAAATGGGAGCAAAAGCACAGAAAGGAGGAGGGTCGCTGCCCCCGGCCCGGGTGGGCACTCGTTAGAGATCTGTTGGCTAAAGAGACAAGCAAGTCAGTTTGACACCTGGCACGGCCACTCACGGGTTGGTGAACCTTGGAGAAAGTTGCTCTTTAGGCCTCAGTTTTTAGATCTGTAAAATGGGCACAATATATCTACTTCCCAGGCAGGTGGTTACAGAAATCAAGGGAGAAGTCACTTGTGAAAAGGCTTGGCCTAGGAGCTGCTTCCGTTCACTACAGGGGCTGCTGACTCAAATGCCTACGGTGGGACAGGGAGGTACCAGGCAGCCTGCAGCAGTTGGGGGTGGCAGTTAGGGAGTGGTGGGGACTGTGGAGGAATGGAGACCACAGGGCCTCCCCCGGGGGGCCCCTTCTGCACCTCCTGCCGACTGCTGCCACACAGCCTTGCCCGTGGGGCCTGCCTGATCCCGATTCAAGGGGAGCCCGATGGCTCTTTAATGTCAATCCATGTTTGCCAGGCCACCCGGACTGTGTCTGAGGATGAGCCTGTGCCCTCGGGCTTACTGAGCCTGTGGCTCATCAGACATGGTGACTGCATGTCACCCACTGCGCCTTACTGCATTCTTAGGACGCTCGGGGGAGACCAGCAGGGGTGAAGCTGGGTTCAGGTCGGGACCTGATCAAACCCAAGGTGTGAGGTCTCAGCCTCTGCACGGGAGTTATGCAAAGGGTGGCGGCTAGGAGAACAGTGAAGAAAGAATGGTGTTAGAATATGTCCGAACCAGGGCACCTGGGTGGCTCAGTCGGTTAAACGTCCGACTCTTGATTTCCGCTCAGGTCATGATCTCAGGGTCGTGGGATCGAGCCCCATGACAGGCTCCACACTCAGCGGGGAGTCTGCTTGTCCCTCTCTCTCTCGCTCTCTCTCCCTCTGCTCCTCCCCCCGCTCTCCCTCTCTCTCTAAAATAAATGAAAATGTCTGAACCAAAGCATGCCGGGGATAAATGGTTACCAAAGGAACAAATGCAGTTAGCAAGAACAGCAGGAACGAGGTGGCCAAGCAAGGAATCACTCCTGGACCGACAGAAGACGGTGTCGCAATATCCCACTGCTCCTCACGGGCAGGAACCCAAACCTGGCCCCTGGTGCTTAGCACGTCCGGGCACTGCGCTCTGCGCTCTGCACGGCTCTGAATCACCTGGGAAAAGGCTTAAAAAGAAGGCGTGCTTGCTGGCCTTTGCACACGCGGGACCTCAGGCCTGGGCCCAGCCTCTCTGCTTTGGCTTGGGGACTCTGAGTGCAGATTGGGAGCCCCTGCCTGACGACAGTGTGGGTGAGGCCCTGCACTCGAGGCGGGCTCTTACTTCCAGCACGAGGTAGTGCTCCAGGGCCGGGGCCGCTGCCATCTCCCCCAGCAGCCGCTCGCACTCCAGCGAAATCGCGTTGATGGAGGCCAGCAGGGGCGTCACGATCTCCGGGAACTGCAGGGAGAGGAAGCAAGGGGCCGTGAGGCCTAGGGCCGGGCAATGGGAGGAGAGAGAGGTGTCCCCACGGCCCACTCCCCGCCTCTCCTTCCCTCCGGGTATCTGCCTTGCCCGGCACCCCCTGACAGGAGTGGGGGATTCTCATGGCCAGGCCAGCATGTCTGACACTTCCTGTCCTGCCTCCCAGCTGGGGGACTGGGGGGGGACTAGGGGGGGACTAGGGGGGGACTGGAGGGGGGGCCCACCCAGCACCTCCTTGTCAGCCAAAACCGCCTCCCCCGGTCCCCATCACCCATCCCGGCCCTCCACTAACCCACGGGGCAGAGGGCGAGCTCGAGCCCCCAGACCTGGCTGCCGCGGCCCTAGCGGAACCCTGCTCAGGAGTGGAACCGAACGCACCTTAAGCAGCCTGCTCCTGACACTGGCCACCAGAGCCTTGGTGCTGCGAGGGACTTTGGTGTTGGTCAGCAGGATCTTCAGAGCCGGTGGCCTGCGGGGTGAAGGGGGGCCGCAGTGAGCTCAGGATGGAGGAGCGGTGTCAGGGCTGGGGGGAATCCCAAACATCACCCCACCCTGTCATGGAGGAGGAAGCGGAGGCCCAGGGAGGGGACATCAGGGGGCTGGAGGGGGAGCGAGGGGAGCAGGGGACTCCTGCTGGCAGTCACAGCGGTGTCCCCACTCCAGCCCCCAGGCAGATGGACACTTTCCTTTGGCTTGTCACTCACCCACTCGACTTCAGTGGGGGCACCTACTATGGGCTGGGCACACGTGAGGGGCCCTGGCTTAGCCTGGCGCTGGCAGAGCACGCCAAGTTCACAGGGTCAGAGGAGTTCAAAGGTACTATAGCTGAAGGTGGAAGAAGGGGGGGGGAGGGTCTGTCCTGTGGGCCACCCCAGCTTGCTGGAGTGGAAGGGTCTAGAGATTTAAGAAGAAAAGCAATGGGACCTGGGGTGGATCACACAGAAGGGGTGCACGCAGGGAGAGAAGATGCCCAGGTTGGCTGGTACAGTGAGCCCAGGGCTGCAGGGAAGGGCAGGCTTGTGCAGGGGTCAGGTTCCCAGCACGTGGGGCCCATCCTTGCCCTGCCTTGATGGTGCTCAGACCCACTGCCCTGGCTCAGCCAGAGATGGTTGGAGTCAGGTGTCCCTGCTTGGCTCCCCCATGTAAGCAAACAGAGGGCCCAGGGTGGCCATGGTAAGCTGCCCTCGCCAACCCCCTGAGCTTTAGAATACTTCCTAAAGTCACAATCCGAATTGTGCTATGGCTGGCGGTCTTGGGGGACTCAGGGCACCGTTTCTTGTCATCCCCAAGCTGCCTTTCAGAGCACTGTGGGCTGGGGACTGAGAATGGAGCATCTGGATGAGCTCTGGCCCAAGACAGCTGAAGACAGGCAGACCCCTTGATACCTTTACCCGTTTTTCTTTTCACAACCCAAGACTGTAAAATCCAATAGGGCTGGAAAAGGCTGCCAGAAACCTGCTTGATCTCACCGCCCGTAAGCCCATGTAATTAATATCGATTCTCAGCCTTGGAGGCCGGCTTTTTTTTTTTTTTTTAAACTTTACAAAAAATGAACATTCTATTTGGCTTTTCTTTTCCCCTTAAAGACAAGCTGTTCCTCAAAAGGGCAGCGTTCTGGGAGGCCATATCTTGATCCACTTCGCAAACAATGCCTTTTTTTTTTTTTTTAATGGAGAAGCACCGTGCATGGTTTTGGGGGAAAGGGTTCCTCTTAAAGCCATCAGTGGGATTAATGCGGAGTCTGGCCTCCCAGCTTCTCAGAGAATCCGCCATCTGCTCTCCGTGGCGCCCCGCGGCCCGCAGTGAAGGTCGGTTTGCTCTGTGCTCCCATCCAGTGGGGTGGGAGGAGTTTGAATATCGTGTCTTCATCTTTCTTAGGCAAGTCCTCTGCGAACAGGCTTGTTGCAGCCCCGCTGGCCCCCCAAAACCCCGGGCTCCTGGGGCAGCCAGACACCACCGCCCAGGCTCCGCTGTGTGAGTGCCTGTCGGTGCTAGGCCTGGCCAATTCCTCAGTCTTACCTCCTCTCCACCCTCCCTGGGTGTTCCCTCCACTCAGCCATCCTGGCCTCCTACCTCCCGCTCAGCCTGCCAGGCACACCCCGGCCTCAGGGCCTTTGCACTTGCGTTTCCTCCGCCAGGGAGGGACCCACCTGTGTCCTCGACAGCTCCAGGATTCACTCTTTGTGTTTTCATTCAGGTCCCTGCTCAAATGTCACTTCATCAGAGGCTCCCCTGGTCCTCCACCCAACTGCCTGCCATGCTCTTATGGAGCCCTTTGTCAGCTGTCTCCTCCCATGAAATGGGAATTCCGTGAAGGCGGGCCTTATTCTTCCCTGCTGAGGCCCCAGCACCCAGCACACAGTAGTTGCTCAGTAATATTTGTGGATTTAAATCTGGTCGGCAAAGGGCAAAACACTCTACAGATACGGTTTCTGATTTCATGCTCAGGATCCTCATTATATAAACACAGGAAAGTCTGCCTCAGGAAATGCGACTCAGTCAAGAGCACCCTGCTCAGGAGTGGCAGAGCTGGGCTCAAATCAAGGCCTACAGACCCCAGAGCCTCTGTCCACCACACCACCACCAGCTGGCCACCGAATATGCCTCGGGGCCTCTCCCCCTGCCTCCCCCACCTGGAAAGCCCTTTATCACTCATCTCTTGACTTCCCTCCAGTAGAATGTGCACGTACCCACACCATGTTTTAGCTGGTTTTCTATCCCTGGGGCCCAGTTTGGTGCTTAGGATACAACCAGCTCTCAGAAAACCCTGAGTGAGATGCCATGGCCCCCATGAAGCACCCCCAGATCTGTAGCCCGACTTATGACACCCCTCACCATCATCCACAGCAGCTTCAGTACTCTCTGGAGGCCTTCGTCCCGAGGAAGACAGTCGCCCCAGTCTGAGGATGACTGGGAGCCCTGCGGGCAGGCCCAGCTCTGGCATCTCGAGCCCCCCGACTGCTGCTGTCGCTGCACCGGGCATCAGTCTACCTGGCAGAGCCGGCCCCACCTGGGCCCCCAGCTCCCGTGCCCCGAGTGCACAGCAGCTAGAGCGGGCTGGTCCCTCCCCTAAATGACTCTGCTTCCTCCTCGGTGCAGAGTGGAGGTTATCATCTCGATTTTTGCCCTCCAGGGTAATGAGGCAATGTCTGGAGACACTTCCGGTTGTCACAGCTGGGAGATGGGGGAGGTGTTACTGGCATCTTGCGGGTAGAGCTCAGGGATGCTTCTAAACCTCCTAAACACGCTGCAGAGGGCAGCCCCCCGCCATAAAGAATTATCCAGTCCACGATGTCGATGGTGCCAAGGTTAAAGAAACCCTAGTGTCGAGTCTCGGAAAGGCAGGCCTGGCTCTTGGAAACCAACAGAGGCGAGGCAGGAAGATCCCAGAGGTGCAGGTAGAAGAATACAGCACCATGTCGCGCCAGGTCAGGGAGCCACTAACGGAGTGGCCCAGTGGGCAAGGGCAGCGGGCTAGGACTTGCTGCCCATCCACAGTGCAGACAACCCTCCTCACCCTCATCCCCGTGGAAAGGCCACCAAAGTAGCAAAGTGCCCTGGGACAAACACCACCACCCGACGTGATGGAGGGCTCAAGGAAATGTCAACAAGCACCTGCTACCGCGCGCCCCATCCGTGTCCACTCTGAGTCTGAAGAGAACAGGGTATTCTATTTTAACACGCATGTTTGTAATCCCCATCCCTCCAGAGGAAGAGGGTCAAGGGACATGTGAAACGGGCTGAAAAGCTATCACATGTCACTGCCCACTCGAGCCTGGGCTCTGCCCGAAGGCCTCAGTGTGGCAACTGCCACGTTTGCCTGCGGCACCTGGTGCATATGTCTGCCGG